TCACTCAGGAAATTATAAACTCAGAATCAAAGACCAAGATTTGTTTTGTTGTTAGAACAAAAGAGTCTTCTAGTATTCCTGTCTACAAAAACCTTAGGAATCAGAGGTAAAAACTAAATTTATATTCCTTATTATATCAGAATATTACAAAATCTCCCACTCAAAAAGACTTCCATTGACCTCCTCCAGATGCAGCCCTTCCCACAAAGAAAGATATCTGTGAGGTCAAGTTAGATGCCTGCTCAGTTCAGGACCCCAGAATCCCCATCCCCTAAAGCCTCAAGCCCACTCCAAGGGCTATGAAGCCTTTTATCCAGGTCTACTCTTCCAAGGAGATGAACCATCAACACAAACCCTACTAGGTACAAGGAGAGGACTAGGAGCCCCACTTGAAATGTGGCCCTTCACAGAGGTAGAAGAGGAGATGAGCAATGGTCCAGAAATGCCTTGCCCTACCTATGCCACCATGTTCCATTGGGACTTTGAGAGGCTAAAACTAGTCAATTAGATTATGTGAAGGCTATGTGCCAAGGCAAGAGGCTAGACTATAATTATAACATTTTAACTTGATTTATAATTGTTAACTGTTTAAAGATGTGTTAGATCTCCATCTGTGTGCTTGCCTGAAGCCTCTCAAATATTCTGCATAGGCTTGTATCATCCTGTTCACCATTGATTGAACTGGGTCAGAATATGAAGGGCACCCATTAGTGAGCATAAAATGGAAGTTGTGGGTCTTCAGTTGTCTCAGTACTTTGCATAGTCTTAAGTACCCCTCCTCATATAGTAATAAGATTTTCTATTGTTTAAAAATTCATTTTTTGTTTAACTTGACTAAACAAAAGCCTGTTACTTCATCTCATGCTCAGCCAAAGAAACAACAATTTATTATAGCACCATGGGAGGAAAAGGGGAACCAGCTATTTAGTATATTGATGGACTTGGAAGTACTTTTAGGGTTGGTCTAAGGGGTTTTCAAGCAGAATTTTCATTATATAACTTTCTGCTAACCCAGTAAAAAGTAATTCCAGTCTACTCAATCTAACTACCTGCAGGCAATATAAGGTACCATAATGATCTAGCCCAAAGAAGAAGAAGAGTATTTTATTCTGTACTTTCTTTTCAGAAACAAATCCTAAGTTTAACATCCTTACTGCCAATACAGTCTTCTCCTACAATCACTATTCATATCATCACACTTGACTGATTTTAATTATTTCAAAATTAATACAATGAAAACCGAATTGTTATTGATGTTTATTCAGTGTTAGCTCTCCCTTTCTCCCAAGGTGACGCTGTCACTTCCAACTTCACCCTGACTTTTTTTAGTTTAGATAATTCCACTTTTGTTCAAATGTTCCTATAGCTTATTGCTTAAACTGAGTTTTCCATCAAAAATTTCCCCATTCCTTTTAAGACTAAACACAAGGTGAATGCACCACATCAAGGATAATTGTCTCCCAAATTTCCTGTTAAAATGCAGAGTTTGGTTCAGTAAGCCTGGGCTAACAATCCCACTTCTCTAACAAGCTTTTATATGGTAACAATGCTGCTAGGCCTGTGCATAGTGAAGTGCTGTATGATTTCATTAGGGAAAAATCTGCAATTTCTCTCCCACCGAAACCACTCCCCAAATATCCATCTTTGAGCTATAAGTATCATGTTAATACTGGTATTTCTTGATTTGTAATATTTACATGTTTATCTCCTCAATTCTTTCTATTATAGAATAAACTATGGCTCTCTTATGAGAATTCTTGATCCATCTAAATCATCCCCTCCATCTTTACAATATTGCTATGTAACATACTTTGGTTTGGTCAGTAAATCCAATATTTACATAGTCATGACATATAAAAGCTGTTAATAGTAGAGTCATATTGTATACTAATTGCAGTACACGAATGCTTCCATTCTACCGGACTAGAAAGCTCATAGTAAAGTGCAATATGTCAGTCTTTGAGTTTCTTTTCTTTCATCTTGTCTGCATCCTTCTGGGAGCACTACATCTTCTTGCTCCAATCTTTGCATGTTGCCCTCTACTTCTGGTATATAGTGATGTGTTGTTTTTGTTTTTGAAACAGCCTTTCACTTCCATGCTAGGGAGCTCCTTGTCTTCCTCTATCTTTGCTTATTGTCTTTTCTTTTATTAGAAATACTCTTCTGGTAGCTTCCAAAGAAAGGGCACTTGGAAACTAAATTTCTTGAGGCCCTGCATATCTAAAGAAGTTTTTATACTCACACTTGACTAATAGCTGGATATAGAATTCCGAGCTAGAAATCATTTTTCTAAGAATTAAAAAATTTGTCTCATTGTCTTCTACTTATTCTGATTCTTAATCATTTGTAAACGACCTTTTATTTCTGTTAAAAAAATTTTGGGGGTGTTACTACAGTTTGAACCAGCTTCACATTTGCTAGAGCCCAGTTAGCAAGCCACCAGTCCAACCTTTATTTCTGTACTTCTAACATCTTTAGACTTTTTTCATTTTATCCTTGGTTTTGTGAAATTTTATAATGATGATTTTTGATTTAGCTCTTCATTGTGCTTGATATTCCTTGGGCTCTTCTAATTTAAACACTCATGTTCCTTGTATTATTTATTTGTAATAGACTATTGAAGTCATGTAAAAACACATGAAGAAAAATAAAATGAATAACCCTTAATCAGTTTAAAATTAAAAATTCATACTTGAAGATACTTGGTACCTTTCTTTAACCTACTTCCCAAAGCAGAAGTAACTATTGTTTCAAATTTTGTTTTTTATTGGTCTCAAAAATGCTTTTATACTCATGCTACAAATGAATATTTTCCTAAACATATTGTATTATGATTTTAAATTTTATGTAAATGGCTACTTAATATATTCTATTGCAATTTGCTTTTCTTGCTCAACAAGATATTTTTTGAAACTAATTCTTAAGTTGATTCATGTTCTAGGTCATTAATTTCAGCTGCTGTATCTTTTACTCTATAAATATACACAATTTTTCCTATTGATAAACAATTTTTAGCATTATAAATAACTGTACTATAATCATTCACCAATTAACATTCTTCCATGTCTTTTTAAATTCTGAGTGCAAGAAATTCCTTGAACTATAAATATGATAAGCGTAATGTGTAATGTGTGTATCTTGCTAGAAACTAAGCAATTGTCCTTCAAAGTGATTGTACCAATTACCCTAAGCAGTATATAGGAAGTACCATTTGATTATGTTTGATATTTCTTCCACTCTACTTTCTCTGGTCTCTTTCTGGAACTTCTGGTAGTTTGTTGTTGTGGCTCATGTATTTATTTTTTGTTATCTTTTCTATTTTTCATTTTACTTTCTTTTCTTCTGCTCTACTTAACAATCCTTTTACTGTCCTTATCTATTTCTCTTATTGTGTTTTAAGTTATTCACTATTATTTTCTGAATGTATCTTTTAATAGCATTCTATTCTTATTTCACTGTTGTAATATTTGCTGCATAGTTTTTTAAAGCAGTTAAGAAGCTTTTAATGGAAATTTTCAAATGTTTACAAAAATAGACAGAAAATACAGTTATCTCCAATTCATGCATCACCTAACTTCAACAGTGATTAAGTTTGACTCTCTTGTCTCATCTCTCTTTCTGATACACATACACATCTTTTTTTCTGAAATCTTTAAATTCCTGGTAAGATAGCTTCTTAGTCACTGAAACCTTAGTTAAGTGTCTGTAGAATGGAAGTTCTTAAACCTAATCACAATACCATTATCACAAAAACCAAACCAATGACTTAAAATTATTCCTTAATAAGACCCTATTTCTTGTTCAATTTTCTCCATTTTCTCAAAAATGCCTTTGCTTTATGCATATTAGTATCCGGACAATATCCAGCATGTCAGTTACTTAATTGAGTCTAGTATACATTTTTACGATAGTTTTTTAAACTCTTCTTTTGCTTTTGTATTTTTTTTAGTTCCTTACTTTTACATCTATAGTTCATGTGAGAGGCTTTGTCAAATATCTGATGATTGTTAGCTTACTCTTTATAATTCAGGGCACTAAAAAGTGCCTGAGAGTCCTATGTGCATGTTGGTCATTGTAGACTTCAGGGTGAACGTTAGAACCTGATTGCTTCATGGGGAGGACCCCCAAAGAGTGTCTCAGTTAGTTTCCCCTTGGTTTGGTCAACAGATAGCTTTCCTGGAGATTTTAAGCCTTCAGGTGTCAAACAAGGAAGGTGGAGGAGGGGAAGGGCTCCACAGGATCATCCTCTATTCAACATGGCACCTTACCCCTCTGAGAGCTTCACTTTGTACTCAGAATGCAGAGTCTCTCTAATGCCTCTGGTTCATCTGCTTCAGAGAGTAAACCTCTTGTCCCCTGGCAGGTCAGGGAGAAGTGGAGACCTCATTGCATGGACCAGGCTCTTCACCACCTGCTGTTCAACCTTTTTCCAATCTGAAGCATCAGTGTTCCGAACCTCTGGGCTCTTATTTCCACCCTTTCCTGCCTCTCACTTGGGATCTAGATTACAACTTTGCTTTATTGGAAACAGTTGGAAAACCCCACAGCTACCTTATTAAAATTCCTGGAACAAACTGAGGAAAATGCATGTATCTCACCCAACATGGTTAGCCAGAAGGAAATCTTGCCCTTTTTTCCAAACAAATTCTCTATGATACCAAGAGTTGTTTCTGTATACCTACAAATATAATGGTTCACTTTGTTAATATTTGGTAAATCAAAGAATTCATTTTTAAAAACTAGCATAAAGAACAATTTTGTGTTTCAACTAATGAAAATATAATGAATTGTAAAAGCCAGAAATCATCTTGTTTTAGAGATTTAAAAATCACTGTTTGTGAAAATGAAGATTTCTCAAATGCTGTATTATTTGAAAACAGTAAGAGGGAATGTTAAATAATAAGGGGATATTTAGGGATATTTAAGGTTTATTAATTTTACAGAAACATGTGATATTAGATAATATGCATTTGTAAGGTAACTATTTGTTTCTTCCATAGGGCTGTCATATGGTGACTGAAGAGCTTCATTCTATAACTTTTGAGACACAGATCTGCCTCTATGGCCTGAATATCGATTTGGAGGTCAGTATTCAAAGCAACATATATTTGTTAGTAATATTTGCAGGAATTTATCAGCACTTATACACAAAAGTGCAGCATTTTCTACATATTACTTTTTGTTTAATTTTAGAAAAGCCGTATGTCAAATGTTCAATAAGTAGTTGACATTTAAGCTATTCTGCTTAAATACAATGATAAAATTTCATAGTATTATGAACCTATACATGTTGAAAAACTTTTACTTGTTTGCTTTGTGGAATATTCTGAGTCATAAATGCTTAGTGGAAAGTCTAAAGAGAAATAACTATCCTTGAATCATGTCATATAGTGATATATTCACTATAATTTTAAGTTATATAAAAAATCTTATAAGAAGGGTTTCTCTGAACAAACAAAAGTGATAGGAAGATAACACTACCTTGTTTTGATCCTCTTCTAACAGTTACTATTGAATTCAAAGAAAAAATAAAGGAAGTTTTGGGAATAAATTGAACATGATTGAGCATCTTAAAGTCAGAACACCACGTCTTGTTTGTACACTCTTGTCATCAGTACACAATATCTAGCACATGGTAGACGCTCAATCTGTATTGAATGAATGAACAAATTAATGCATTAATGAACAAACACAATTTCACATATCCCAAACATGATCTTATTTGTGGACTGTACTGTTTTAGAATTCTGCCTTTACTCTTTTATCTTACATGCAAGCATGTTTGTAAAATCTTTCACAGATTCCTTCCTCATCTCTTTTTCCTAAACCTCTGTTTCCATGTTTCTCAACTGGGTATTTTACTGTCTACAGGAATCTGATGTCTATTGTTGGGTAGGGACTGTTTTAAGTTGATTAGCCTCTGAAGCTAGTCTGGGAAAGTCTGTTTATTTCATAAGGGAGAAAACTACATTACCAATAATATTAAATTGAGCTCTATAGCAAGACACCAGACAGCTGCAGCATCTTGAGTTTACCTCTCCATCTTCTGCAGTAAAAACTCCTACTTAATTAGTTGTTAGGTCATAATTTGAATATTATGATTCATTCCAGAAGTGAATTTAAAAAAACAGATTCTTTAATGTAACTTACAAGAAGGATGGTTGCTCAATCACCAGAATCTCTAATCAGTTGCATTTGAGGCAATGTCTGACCATAAAGTATAGATATTTGTGCAGTGTGAGAGATAGTATTGGAGAAGCTGCCTGACTGATAGCGTCAGGAGCTCTAAAAGGATTCCTGTTTTTATCTCGCTGTACCCTGGCTCATATAAGCTCAGAAAGTTCCGTTGCCTTCATAATTGTCTTAGCAACCAGGCAGCTGGACATGAGGGTTAGAAGAATGGGTTTGGCTTAAAATGACCCTTTAGAAGAAAGGGCCAAATGTAAGATCAATGTAAGATGTATACTACCTGTAATGACAGTCTTCTTTTTTTAACTAGACCAGTTCATTACCTGTGGTGATGATTTCCAATGTCAGTCAGTTACCTAATGCTTGGGCGTCCATCATTTGGTACAATGTGTCAACCAATGATTCTCAGGTAGAGTTTCTATTCCTATTTTTCCTTCTGTCATTGTATTTGATTTGTTTTATTGCTAACAAGTAGTGTGTGTGTGTGTGTGTGTGTGTGTGTGTGTGTAGCATGTGTTTGTGGGTTGTTTTCTTTCTAGTTGTATGGTTCCTTTCAAGTTATATTTAAAATAACATATTTTGACATGGATCCTGAAAGAGTTCTGGCTAGCAAAAGTGTCAGGCAGGCGTTGGTTATTTTTGCAGGTCTGGTCAGCTCTCAGCATTGTGCATCACAGAAAGTTTTAGGACTATCCTATGGTTCTGTTAACTACCCTGCAGGGAAACTCCTTTTCCCGGAATTTTATATCTAATTACTGTCAGAATTTGATATCTGATCTTCTTAATTCTTCTGGACCTACCTTTTCCACATTCTCTTCTACAAAGGTAGAGAAATAGCTTCTAAATAAGTAACTAGAACATCCATCAATCTTGCCTAATCATACTCTGACACGACTTTTTAGTTGTGTAGATTTTATCCTTCCTAAACGTGCACTGGGTTTTAGTGCCATCTGGTGGTCATTTGAGATACTGACCAAAAATTAGCTATGTCAGATCAAGTGATTAGGTGTTCTTCTTACAAGAAAAACGAATGGAGTGGCAAAAAAGATGAGTCAGCACTTCCCCTTGCTCCTCTCTTACAAAAAACTTCAGTGTGTTATACTGAAAACCACTGATGTCTACAGAAAGTAGGTCAAATTTAAATAACTACATTTCTTCTTAACTCAAAGCAAGTGTTCCCTCCAAAAGAAGAAGTTTTTCGTATTAGGTTCCAGCAATAAGAACAGAGCCATAATAGGTCAGCTGTAAATGTCCTTTCCTTTTAACCCAATGTTCCTAGTGTGGAAATGGCACGGAAAATGACAGTGCTATTTCTCCTTGGCCTCAGGTGCCTTGGCACCAGAGACAGATCAGCTTCAGAGAGGAAGAAACTCTACCTAGAGAATTCACCTGGTCTTTTAGTCCAGAACAGCCCCTAAGAGTAAATGCCACTCATCTTTAGGAGCTACACAAATAGTAGAGCTCTTGTCCCCATGGAAATGCCATTGAGAAACACACTGCATGCTCAGGGTGCATAGTGTTTAGTACTACCTCAGATGCTTGATTCATTTTCCCCATAATGCCACCCAACTCCCACCAAACGCACATGCCACCTTTCAACAAATCTCAGATTTGTTAAACACATGAACTTTTATTTCACTTTGAGGGCACCATTTGCTTTTTGGGAGGCAGATTTTCACAAAATTAAGGGCAGGGAAACACTCAGCAGATCACACAATGATTTAAACACCACTGTTGACAACACAGGACTGATTGACAACTTCTCCATATCAACCAAGATGCATAATGCACAATTTAAAATTTTTAGTTTTGAAATTTCTTTATTTTTTGACCGTGCTTAGTCAAAACTGCATGTAATAAATCCCACCAATCATGCAGGTTTACCGTATTCAGCTTTTCTTCAAACTCCAGGGCTTGGGTGGCAAGATAGATACTTCTCTGTCCTCCAGCCTCACAGTGTAGCATTGCACTTAGCTTTCATAGCAATTCTGCTAGGAATTCACCAAGATCTTCATGCTAACCATCCTGATTTCCTGAGTTCCAGCATGAAGAGCTGGAGATATACCTCCTAAAACATAGATTCCTAGCCTTATTACAGGACCAAGCTGAACAACTAACTCTGGTTTATTAATTCTACCCTGCTTTAAAACCTGAGCTCGTACACCATGTCTATATTCTCTGCTTTCTAGTAATTTTTCCACAAGGAAAACTGTATCACTAGAAATTCTTTCTCTTCCTATCTCCCACTCCTGGTTGGATGAAGTGTCCTTTTTCATGATGAGTCAATTAAATAACATGTTTTATTTAGGATTAATATTTCAGAAAAGAGCATCTGTCCAATTACTATTGGACAGTGTTAATTACTTGTATTAGTTGGTTGATAGTTAAGAGTTCAGGAAAAGTTAGGAGATGCCAAATGATTCTTTCAGGAAAGATGGAGTTCTGAATTATATTACACTCAAAGAACAAAAAAGCCCCCTAGGAAAAATAAATCAGTCTTAAAAAGAAGGGAATGAGATTACATGATAACATTCTGTATTGTTAACTTACTTTGGCCCAGAGTTTAAATCAGGAATCAATACATTGAATTACAGTGTTTTCCATGTAATTAACAAATGTAATCACTGAAACTCTATTGCAGAACCTGGTTTTCTTTAATAATCCTCCATCTGCCACATTAAGTCAACTCCTGGAAGTGATGAGCTGGCAGTTTTCGTCATATGTTGGTCGTGGCCTTAATTCAGATCAACTCAATATGCTGGCAGAGAAGCTCACAGGTAAAAGCTGGCAGATAGGAAGAATTTGCCCCTGTTTTGGGCACCTAAGTGTTTTAAAAACCATAAAGACATTACTACTATTAATGAAAATAATGATTGTTAAATTTATTGAATGCCTACTATATTGCTGGGCACATGGTGAGGTAATGTATTATCTGCAATTCTCACAAAAGTTCTTCAGGGTTAACATTCTATCTATTTTACAGATGAGGAGACTGCATTGCAGAGGTCGATTGTCAGGCTCCATGGCTACTACTTAGCAGAGCCAAGTCATGGGGCACACTGGTCCAGTTTTAAAGCCCTTACTTTCTATTCCACACTCATTTCCAGAGTGTTCTTAGCGCTTGACTTAGTGACTATGCTGTTAAGCTTTAATGGTGTCTTGATTTTTTTCATATTAATATCTCAATTGACATGAGCCAACTGGAAAATGACCAATTCCTTCACCAAGCGCTATAAATTTAAATAGAAATTAAAATATATGGTAATAATTTAATTCTGTATATCAAGAAAGTTTCAGCTTTGAGTTGAGGTATCTGAAGTTTACAAAATAATCACAGGTTCTACAGGTACTGAATATAGTCTAAGCTTTATCTAAAATAATTTTTAAAAAAAAATCTATAGTTTGACAATTCTGGAATTAAACACATTTAGCACCACAAAGAATCAAATTGTATCTGCACGCATTTCTAGGTAAAGTAGGAGCACAGATGCATTTGTGTGATTGCAGTAGAATAATATGTGACTGAGTGTGACTTATGTGATGCTGGATTGCTTGCCACTTACATCTCAACTAGTTTTCAAATAAATCAAGAACTAGTGAAATATTCCAAAACTTGCTTAATGTGTATATGTTTTTATCCTTATTTAATTCATAAACTGCAGTAGTAGGCACTAAATATTTGTCAATGAGTCAGTAAAACTTTTAAACATAGATTTGATGTATTAATATCAATGTAAATATAGTGTAGATAGCAGATATATCCTGTCAGATTTTTATCAAATTTGTCCTTTTCAGTATAATTTCCTTAATGACTTAGGTAGAAACTCTTTCATCCTTCCATTGCTGTGGATCAAAACAGTCAATGTCTATTGGAAATCTAGCTACATCTAATTTATATAATTTTATTTTATAATGTCTTTCACCATCGTTATGCTGCTCTTATTGTCTGCTTTAGGAGCCATGTTCATGTCACCACACATCGTCCTGCATTATTCTTACTTCTGGAGTGGCTTCCCTTGTCTCTTCTGACAATTTATATCCTACCCATTCATAGAATTTCCTAAAGTTGTTGTTAGCTCCTCCCTCAAAAAACTGCACTTCCTGGATAATGTACTCCAAGGATGATATATTTGTACCATACATAGCACTCAGTTCACTGTAAATCCATAGTAGGTGCTTAAGAAATGCTTGACAGGGATGAGGAAAAAAATCTAAATTGAGCACAATACTGAAGTGTCTCATTAATGAATTTTAAAAGTCTTATTTTTTCTTTCATTTCAGTCCAATCTAGCTACAGTGATGGTCACCTCACCTGGGCCAAGTTCTGCAAGGTAAAAATAAAGGAGGGGAAACATCATTTAGATACCGAAACACACACACACACACACACACACACTGTACTCCTCTCTAAAACTCCATATCATCATCTGGGGTTTGAAGATTTCCTGGGTAAGAATATTTTAAAAAGAAAGTAAAATGTTCAGTTGAGAGAAAACATTTTATTGAAAAATGGAACTTGAGTTGATCTATGAATGTTACTACTGAAGTAACCATCGCCCTAATGTGTTTATTTATTCCAATAGGAACACTTACCTGGTAAATCATTTACTTTTTGGACATGGCTTGAAGCAATATTGGATCTAATTAAGAAACACATTCTTCCCCTTTGGATTGATGGGTGAGTTGTGGAGCTATATTTTCCATATGCAGTAGGTTCTTTTCTTCTGTTTTTATTGAGTTTTTTTCCATTTTCTTTTAAGCATGTGTAGTACCATGGAGGGAAAAACAGTTGTAGTTTCTTACATTCCTCAGAGAGTATTGTTATGTATATCTGTATATGAGTATTTCAGGTAGGATTGACTTTTGATTATGTGCAAAAAAAAATTTTGGTCTGTTCTTTGTGACTGAAGTAAATGCAAAAGGAATAATGATCAGATGAAACTCTTCATTGCTCTAATTTTAGGTATGTCATGGGCTTTGTGAGCAAAGAAAAGGAACGGCTCCTGCTAAAGGATAAAATGCCTGGGACCTTTTTATTAAGATTCAGTGAAAGCCATCTTGGAGGGATAACTTTCACCTGGGTGGACCATTCTGAAAACGGTATATTCTCACTGCTATTTACTCACGTGAATTTAGTATTCTTAAGTTTGATTATTGGGATTTCAGCTTCCAGAGTGTGTGGTATGCTGATCTGTTTATCATGTGTTCATTAGGTTTGAAGATTAGTTGGTACAGTTTTCCCAGAACAGGGTACCTGTATCCCCTTACAACCTATGGTCACCCTCTATCACATGCACAATCTGTATTGTGCAGCCTGCAAAAGATCATGTTTTTTAGCCATGCAAATAATGTAAGCAGGAAGAACAGCCACAATCAGTATTTTCAGGAACCTACATATTCTTCTAATTTCTGTTTTTAAAGGAGAAGTTAGATTCCACTCAGTAGAACCTTACAACAAAGGTCGGTTGTCTGCTCTGCCATTCGCTGACATCCTTCGAGACTACAAGGTTATTATGGCTGAAAACATTCCTGAAAATCCTCTGAAATACCTATATCCTGACATTCCGAAAGACAAAGCTTTTGGTAAACACTACAGCTCCCAGCCTTGCGAAGGTAAAGTTCTTTCTGTTTACTTTTTGTCTTAAGATTTGGAAAATAACATAATATCAGAGACAAGTAAACAAAGTTCCTAACCTATAGCAAGTAAATCTTTGGGCCCCATCTTGTGGAATATCCTACAATTGTCACTCACAGATGGCAACTTGCTGCCACTGAACTTCATGCCTTCTGAAATAAACAAAAGTCCAAAACAAAATAAAACCCTGTGGCTTTTAAGTGGCACTCTACATCTAGCAGCAAATTTCAATACAACAAATTACAGTTGGAAAATTGAACCAAGTACTAGTTCAACATGGTGTACCTGAGAAATTTGGGCAATGTTTGCAAGGTGAGGTTTACATTGTACCATCACTCCAGTAGTACAGTGTTATTTTTAGAACTGCTGATGTCTGTGATCTAAAAATATGTGTAATAATAACGTTATGGTTATCTGGACACGGGGGCACATGCCTGTTATCCCAACACTTGGGAGCCAAAGGCGGGAGGTTTGCAAGTTCAAGGCTAGCCTGGTCTATGTAGTGAGATGTCTCAAACATTGTAATAATACTGTTATGGTTGGTGTCAGCTCTAATGAAGAGAACTGGGTTATTATATGTGTTAGTCAGCTTTCTGTAAATACAGTAGCCAATACCTGAGATAATCAATTTAAAAAGAGGAAAGGCTTATTTTCACTTACAGTTGTGGAGATTTCAGTCAATGGTAGGTCAATACTGTCACCGTGGGGACCATGCTTGGAAGCAGAGAGGAAGGGATTTCAAAGACATGCCACAGTTGCATTTCTTCCACTAGACCCAACCTCTCAAAAGTTTCACCACATCCCAATGGTGCCACAGGCTGGCAACCAACCTTTAACACTTGGGCTTTGGAGGATACTTATCTAAACCATAGCAGTGTAAATCCTCCTATGCATGAATGAGTCAGATCTTATAACTAAACTTAAAGGCAAGATAGAAGTCAGGTAATAAAATAGAGTCTCAGTTTTATCACATATTTTAGAGACATTAATATTTGAAATCAGATTATATGTGCCAAGAGATTGTTATTGTCTTGTGTTCATTTTGTTTATGTAGATGACTGTTTCTTCTATTCAACTAAAACATTTGTGACTCACTAGATAGCTGCATTATCTCTTTCTTTTACATTGCTGCTATTTTCCTAGACTTCTTTTCTAATTTTATCAATAATGTTGATAATATTTTCCCCCAATATTGTACCTTTCTTTTCCAGTTTCAAGACCAACAGAAAGGGGAGACAAAGGTTATGTTCCTTCAGTTTTTATCCCCATTTCGACAATGTGAGTAATCTTAGTCACATGTAAAATATTTATTATTGAATTAATTTTTTCAAAAATCTTTCCTATAAGAGATTTAAGGTTAGAACAGAGTACATATAACTGAGAATAAAGCATTTTAATGTCCAATAAAGCATTTTATGTCTCATTTCTTTTAACGCATAAAGCTAGTCTTTAGGGCACAATTACTGCCATCTATTATGACTGGAATTATGAAGTTGCCCTTTTATATGCTATATATTTCCTAGCAGATTGAATACTCTGATACAAAGTGATAAATTAGGAAGTTCATTGTCACAAATAGATGAGACACAAGTTTTGAGATGCAGTAAATTACCAGGAGTTGTTATTTTTTCTAATCTGTGCAGTATTTCCCTGTTATCTCTTTAAGTCGAAGTGATTCAACGGAACCACAATCTCCATCAGACCTTCTTCCCATGTCTCCAAGTGTGTATGCAGTGCTGAGAGATAACCTGAGTCCTGCAACAATTGAAACTGCAGTATGTTCCCTTTCTTCTCCCATGCTGGTTCAGGGCATTTCCTTTTGAAGTAAAGGTGGTATGTAATTTGAAGGGACTGTAGTGCAAAAGAGATAAAACATTTATTGGTACAAATGCATGAGCATAACACAGGGATGTCTGTGTGGCTTATGTGTTGATTTTATAGGCATTTAAAGTAGATACCTTAATGCAGAACACCTTTAAGGTCTTTCCATCAAAAACCAGCAGAGGGCAAAATATTCCTCTACTTCACTCCAAAACACTATCCCTACTGCAACTATTGATCCATCTGTTTTCAACACTCTCTCCACTTCTGCAAGCAACACATATTTGTCAATATTTATAAGCCCAGTTTATTATCTATTTTAAAAGTTCAGACTCTACGAATTCCAAATTTTCTTGTCTGTTGCTTGCATTATCAGTCCTTGGAATCTGTCCAAGTAGTATATCAGTAACAATAACAGCATAACAATGTTCTTTTTAGAGCTGGGTCATTATACATAACACAAGAATGTTATTCAAGGTGCATTCTATTTGTTCTTACCCCCAATACTGTCAAGAGGTTCAGACTCCCAAGTTACATGAAAGTGAGCATCAGAACAGAATTTTGGAGGAACCCTAAGCCCCAAGAGATTTGTGTCTGGTTATAAATCAAGTGGTATTTAGTTCTCTTAGAGATTTCTACAGATGGACTGCTTACTCTGCTTTGATGGCTATTCCAATGTTGGAATAGCTCACTAAATTACTTGTGTCTAACTGAGCTTTTACTACATTTTGCACCCATTTCCTTATTATAGTTTTGGTGTGATAGACTTCTTAACTCAGGTTTTATTCTATATGAAAAGTACCTTTTATTTCAGACTATTCAACCTGAATTACTTTTGTGAATAGTCATTAATTGGAATAAAGATGTATGTATTGTTTAATAGGCAAGAAAATGTTTGTCTACCCACCCCCCATAATGATTTATTTGCAAAAACAGGAGTTTCCTCAACAATCATTTTCATTTTCAATTGTAGATGAAGTCTCCGTATTCTGTTGAATGACAGGATAAGCTTAAACCCTAAAGAAGGAGCAAATGAAAAACATTTAAGAACTATTCTCTGTCAAAGACCACATCTTATTTCTTCAGCTTTGTAAATGCCGGTTTCCAGGAAATGGAAGTCTGAAATTCACCCCCAGCTGGGAATGTTGTGACTTAAAATGCTAAAAACTAACAGCTTCAGATAAATTTTCAAGATAAGATAACTTTAAGAAACCAGTGCCAGTGACAATATAATATAACAGAAGACTCATGTGCATGTCTATTTCTGAGTTTGTTTCTTGGTGTTATTTATGACTTTTGGCTTTAGAAAGTAGAAGTATTAACATTTCAGTGTAGGTCAGGAATACAAGATCACACCTATATTACTTAAAACCAGCAGGAAGGCCTGGAAGAAAAGCCAAATAAGGGTCCTCACAGTAGATCCAAGGAGGAGGAAATAATGAAGCATTAACATCAGCTACTCACAGGGCCCCAGTGGGTAGCCTGTAAAGCTTCCTGATTGCCATGCCAACTGCTGCTGGTGTCACTGCCAGGGACACCTATCTGATCAGGGGGAGGTGTCCAGAGTAATTGCTGGTGGTATCGTGGGCAACTTGCATTGAAAGCAGACACAGGGGTAAAAATCTCATGAAATGAGAACTGGGAGGCAAATAATCACTCTGGCCTTTGATGGCTGATTTCATCTTGTGGGTTACATGTTCTTCATCTCTAGGAGAGGTTGAACTAGATGGGTTCAGTGGTCCTTTCTCACTCTACTGTCCTCTGTTCCTGTAGATTTAATCTGAGACTGAAGAAAGGGTAAGAAGTTCCATCCCTGTGGTTGTCTCTGGTGAAGTGGAAGGGTGGGTGCTTTGCTGGTGACAATGCAGGTATATGAGGTACAGGTCCATTTTGGCCCTTGTCTCACCATGCTCCATGGTGCCATTGTTCAGCTGCTGACCCTAGTAGTAGAGTCCCCCACTGCCCATACCTAGGGAGTTCTCTATGTCTTCCGAGCCCCACGAAGCTGCTGAGCCAGGCAAGATGATTGTTACCAACACATCTGCCATCACCAACAGCAGTAGTATCTTAGGCTGCTTTTTAAGATGATCCTGACTCCAGAGTCTGAGATGACTGCCCCCTCCAAAAGGCTCCTTTCTCCTCCTCTCACCCATCTCCTGTCTTCCAGGCAAAACAAATAGGCAGAGGTTCCTCATTGATGGAAAAGAGTCTAAGGGGAAAAAAGGTTTTACCACAACATATCCTTTCCCTTAAAGTGATTCCATTTGATCAATCTCACCCTTTGTACCCACTCACATGTGCCCAACTAGATCCTAGACTGTTCCTAAGGGGAAAACTTCCACCTACATCAAGGCTGATTTTCTACTCTTACAAGCTCCTAAGAGAATACTCTTGGGGCCAACATGTCTGTTTGATAGAGGACCATATCTGCCTCAAAGTCATTCTCCCAGTCTCTACTTCCCTCTGCAAACTGTTTTCTGAAATCGCTTGAGACATACATCAACTGACAGCAGAATTGGAGAAAATAAAGCCAATGGCACAATTATTGGTTTTATCTTTAAACATGTAATTTCCTACCAGGAAGTGCTCAAGCAATGGAATTTAAGTATCAAAAAGGGTTGCAGAAGCTTCTCATTCCCTGGAATTTATCAAAAGTTCCATGGACTCTCAAAAGTTTCAAAAGCTTATCAAGTTAGATAGAGCCTGGTAACAGAAATAGCCATCCTTGCTATTTGGGCTAGAAAGTACAAGGAAATTGATAGTTTGCTTTCTATAATGTAGGCAGAGGCCACATTACAAGAGTTCAATAAATGCCTACTTCAAGAGTTCAATAAGTGAGATCCAAAAAATCAAGCTCTTGACCCTAGGGTAATGAGTTATTTCCCAGAAGGGTTAGTCTTATACTCTAGAAACCATTTTTGTGGGGGTAATGGTGTTTTGTCAGAGGATTCCAATTTAAGGTAATGAGAAGAGATTTTGGACCATATTTCCATCAAATGCTACCCCAGAATAATGTATTCTGCCAACTATGGCAGTCAGACTGCTATAAAAGTACCATAGATTGGATGGCTTCTAGACAGCAGGAATTGATTTCTTACAATTCTGGAGACAACACGGTTAGGTTCTGGAGCAGGCCCTCTTCCAGGTTACAGTCAAGACAACCAACTTCTCATCTTGTATACTCATATAACAGAGAGAGCTCACTGGGGTGTCTTTTTATCAGGGCACTAATCCTGAGCCTGAGGTTCTTCACCATGATATCATTACTTTGGGGGATAGGATTTCAACATACAGATTTTGAGAACACATTCAGTCTGTAATAAGCTAGTAACAAATAAGCATTTAATGAAATAAAATAGAGTTTCAAAATATTAATCACATTTCACTTCTCCCCTCACTTATCCCAGGCCAATCACAAATATATGCATTTTGCTAATCTCTCTTCAAATTGTTCTTAGCATAAACACTTGAACCAATTGTACTGAATATCAATGCCTTTGTTTGGAATAAATGCTGAAAGAAGGCATCTAGCTAGGGAATTTCAAGTCTAAGTAAGGAATGCCCCCTCCCCTCGCCCATGGCAACAAGGGATTTTTCTTGACCTCACATGGTTCAGGAGGCCCATGTATTCCCTGAGATAGAAGGAGCAGCACTTAGAGTGAAACCATCCTAGGACTCTGCCCTAGCAGTGGATAATGGAGCACTCCAGCCTTAGCAAACTGGCCTCTGAGTTCAAGCTCCAATTTCTGACATAGAGTAGACTTTTTTTTCAGATCTGACCGTGAATACTTACTGATTTGACTGATTGCATTTTTAGAAATCTAACATAGCAGAGTATATTTTATCAACAGTAAAATTCACCCTTTTGCATTGTGCCAGTCTATGAATCTTAACAAACCTGTACAGTCATACAACCACAACTGTAAGACAGTACATTTCTACCAGTTTCCTAACAAAAAGCATGCTATAAAAACATGCTGAAGGACATTCCTTGAAATATCCTTCCAGTAAGTACAACTATTTCTTATTTTCTTACATAGGAGCTCCACTTAAAATAAATGGAGTCATTTTACTCCCTGCTTGACACTCTACATTAACATTTCTTGCTGAGGGTATGGATAGAATTCAGGGGCTCATAAATTTAAATGGCAAATATTACAGTTTTATTTCCACTAAATTCCAACTAAAGTTTAGAATTTCCAACAATTTTGATTTAAAGGCAGCAAACCATAACTCAGACCACTTTTACATCATTTTATAGTTGTTATATTTATCTCATTGTTTATGCTTAGCACAGTTTGGAAATTGCATTAATCAGACACATTGCTAGAGCTTATTTAATGTTATTAATAATGAAGCACACATACTACGTTACACAGGTGGTTTCAGTATGGTTTTCATATATCGCAAAGTTGGTTTGATATGTTTCTCAGTGTATTTGGTTTCCTTTTTAATCTTACATGTTCTGTTTAAGAGTTCCTTATTGAAGCTCCTATTGAAGGAGCTCATAGGTTTTATTAGATGCCAGAGGAGTCCATGACACAAAAAATAGTTAAGAATTCCAGCTCTGGATAAAGACCTTAATTGCCAACTAATCTTTCCAAAGCCATACCCTGTTTGGTCTTTTCAGTCTTCCAACTCTCATCACTTCCCCTCAAAACTTCTCACCTGCCAAAACATAGACACGCAAGACCAACTAAACTACTTTCAGTTTCTTTGATGGCTTATGCTCTTTATCCCTTCCCTCTGCTTCATCCTCTTGATTTCCAATCCCATTCTACTGGCCCTCTACCTGAATAATCTTCACCCATCCTTCAGGCTCTGGGTAGCTTTCTTGCCAAAGGCACACGTGTGCCAGAAGGCTTGGGTTATACCATGCCTCCATAGTAAGCCCCCTCAAACCCCCAGCACAGTGGCTTTGTGGTCATTGTACATTATCTGCCTTCTTCATCAAACTCTAAGCAAGCTCTGCATTTTACAGGAACCAAGACAACCTTGTTTACAGTTACATACCTAGACTCTAAGACAGTCTGGCCTTTAATAAATAGTAGTAAATTATTTAATGTCTGAACCTATGGAGGACAATGTTCCTTCCTTTCCTTTGCTCTTTGGTTTGCCTGCAAAACTAGGCTAGAATTCTCTTTATAACACCTCCCCCATGTTATATTTTATCAAATAACCCCACAACACACTTGCTTTGACATAACATAGAGAGGACTTCCTATTTTATCTCACCCTAAAATTCCAAGCTCTGTAAAAATGGTCTAGAATTACACTGTTTATTACTTCACCCTAACTTCTCTTTAAGTATCATCTCATGTGCCTACCATCCGTGACATCTGCCCATTCACAGACAAATCAAGTGTTCCTGGAATTTCCCCTTAACTCCACCTCATTGAACTCATGACCATTACGACTTCTACCCCTGGCAAAAGTCCTGAACCACATTCTCTTACATTAGGCTTGACAGTCATCTCCTTAGATATCTCATAGTCAGTTACAGATGGAAGGAAATGTAGAGCCCACCCACACTGGGTAAAGAGGGTATGGTGGAGTGGCACTCATTAAAATCCTTTAGGGAAGGTTTTCAGAGTATACATGCTCATTATTCTCCTCGTCAATTATGACTCAGTAGATCTTAGAACCCCATGCTGAGGTCTGAATGGCTGAATTAACCTGTGGTTCCCACTCCCAGTGTTAATGATGTTCATTTATTCATTCATTCAAAAAATATTTTTGAGAACCACTCTGTATCTGGCATTGCCTTTCTCACCTAGGGTTTCCCATCTGAACCATAAGACACCAAAAGTGATTTTCATGACTATTTACCAATTCTCCCAAGGATAGCAGATAGTGTCATTCTGCATCTTTAGGAGAGAAGGTAATTCATTACACATGTATATATCTTGGGGCATTAGATTTAACTCACTCAGAATATGGGACAAGAAAGGTTGTACTATAACACCAAGTTCCTCCTGTTGGTAACTTATACTCTGGCTAGGAGAGATGAAAACAAACAGGAAAATAATACTTAGGGACAGATTTTAGTTCTGTGAGGAAGGCAAATGTGATAGGGGAAGAAGTGACCAGTGGAGGTCTCTCTGAGAAGATGATTGGGCTGAGACCTAAATTGGGAAGGAGATAGTGCATGAATTCAGCCACAAAAACAGCAATCCAAAAGACCAATCCTATCTTGCGCATAGGACTCAGCAGATAAAAACTTGGGGTACTTGAGGAACAGAAGGAGGCCAAGTTTGGAGGGGAGCCTGGTGAAGTATGGAAAGAGTGGGATAAAATGAGCAAGAGAGGCAGGAGAAACAAAATTATATAGGTTC